TTGCTGCGCGCGTTTTCCCCATGCAGGACTCTTCGTCTTCCCCTACGCCCAGCTTGATCCTTACCCCGTCTTCCTCCGCGAAGTGATTGGCTGCGTAGTTGGGATGCTCGGATCAATGTGGAAAGCGGGAAATCGTGCACCACTTGGACGAACACCCCAATCACGTAGCCATGCAATCCCGCGGATCGAACCCTCTAACTCCCCACCTCTCTCTCCTATCATGCTCATCGACACCCTGCGCTGCCCGCACCTCGCGCTGTTAACCCGCCGCCTCCCACACTATAAATTTGCGCAACCCTCTCCTCTCCCTCTCTTTGATCTCGGCTGCAATGCTGCGCGAGCTATGCACGAGAGTCCGCAGCGCCGAACAGGCTCAATGAGCCCAAGGACGGGCGGAGTGACGACGTGGGGTGGACCCCGCGGTAGTCTCGGGGCGAAGCAGTCGGAGGGACTGAGCAGTGGTGGGGATTGGATGCCGGCCGCGGCAGGGTCTTGTGGCTATGGTGGTCGGTGGTCTTGGGAAGTTTTGAAGGTTGCGCCTGGGAGCAGCAGTTAATTGAAATTTTTGTGTACAAGAAGGACTCACTTTTATCTCCATTGCTGCTTTGTCTATGCGTGTTGTGTGTGTGAAGCCCAGAGTGATGGGAGCTGGTTATGCGCATGAGTGACATCGAAGGTCCATGGATGATTGGATGTCCTGTCAAGGGTTATTGATTGCATGCATGTATGTGTGTATGTACTCGTCCGGGCAGGGATAGGGAAACTGAACCGGGGGACCGTCTGCTTAGGAGTATGAGTGTGTTGGTCCGGTTGTTCCCCTCCCCTCCGCGGCCTTTCCTGCGCTCTCGCGCGGGCTTGGCGTAACTCTCTCTCTCCCTTTTCGATCGCCTTCCTTTTGAACTAACAGTCATCGCCTTTTAGAGCTTCTCGTCCCCATACTGGTGACGTCAACCTCCTGCGTTCGCGCGGACGGTCGACGCCCCCGCCAATGGGAGAAAGCTTCGATTTCGTCATCCTTCCCCTACGCACCCACTTTCGAGAGACAAGAGTTGCGACGTTTGTTGTATGGATTCGGTGTTGGTTCAGATGACCGGGAACGTGGGATCTTGCCCGTGTTCATCACGTACCTCCGATCGTCTCATTTCACTACCGACCTTCCCCATCACAGATGACGCAGCGTCTACTGCGATGCGGACGTACGGCGCGCGCTGAGGCGGACAGAGCAAGTGTGTTGGCAAGACCCGCCTCGGGCTTATGAGATAAGGGGGAATGGGTTTGTGTTGATTGATCGCTTTGATTCCCCGACTCTAATATTGCCTTATACGGGTTTAATGGTGTTGCCCTGGTCGGCCGCTCACGCCGTGTGGCGACCACAATTTGATTGTCGCTGGTGTCGCCAGAGGGACTCGTGTTCGTGGCGACGGCTGGTCCTGGGTTAYGAGGGAGCGACACGTTTCCCCGAGCTTTCCCGTAGTGCGGGGGCGCTGCCCGCGCAATTTCGAATTCAGATGCCGGCGAGTCCTCCCGCCGCTTTACCCTCCCGGAAACTTTCGCGCGGGCTCTATGAGTCCAACGCCGAGGCTTGAAGGCCTCGAACCAACCACCTCTACAGCAAAAGACCGGAGGGTTCGGCCACTTCGTGAGGTCGATGACGAGGCCTGAAGGCT